TATTTAATATTATATTAAGCTTTTTATATTATTAATTAAATAATCACTTAAAAAAAGAAAAATCATTATTGTTTTCATATAATAATAAATATTTCTACCATCAGGTGTATATTACATCTACATAAACCTTAGGAATTTCGTTAACAAGTAACAGGTATGTGTGTACCTTTCTAATCATAAAAGAAAATGAATTTCTAATCCCTTGACAAGTTTAGCAAGTAATCCAAGTAGATATTGGAAGTATTAACACTATACACACACACACACATATATATATATATATATATACGTATACACAAAAGTCGGATTACGATGAATTAATCAATGTATAAAAATATCATCGAATAATAGTAGAAGAGTAAAATGAGTGAGAAACAGCTTTAAAGGTTACATGTACACACTTGCACTAATTAAAGTGCAGACGTATCGAGGTCGAAGGAACGCCCGCGCGTTATAACGCCGAGCAGATTAACCGTGCAGTTTTCGACGAAACTTCGGGCATTATTCCAGCGTATCCGCAGCAACAATGTAGGATAATAATAGAACGGAAGGAACGTGATGCCGCTTATTAAAGCCCTCGTGCTTCAACTTTCTCATCCGATTAACCGGGATTTGAATCGTACGGGTGTACCTCGAGCGAATGAATGAACGAACGAACAAACGAACGACCGTATACCTACCAACTGCCTGAGTTATTATGAAAGACAATGCTTTCTCTTAAGTACCTTTAGTTCATCATAAGGATTGATCACAATCGATAGATTCTATAAAGGAAACAATTATGATACATTAATATATATTTATTTAATTCTGTCAACTGTTATTCAATCGAAATTTTGTGATTAAGATTCTTTTAACTTTTTAAATGGGAAGCTAATTTAATTAAAGCAGAAATGTTATTTTTTACATAATAAACTTAAATGGGAAGAGTATTTTAACAAATCTTAAGTACCTTTAGTTCATCATAAGGATTGATCACAATCGATAGATTCTATAAAAGAAACGATCATTATGATGCATTAATATATATATTTATTTAATTCTGTCAACTGTTATTCAATCGAAACTTTTAACTTTTTAAATGGGAAGCTAATTTAATTAAAGCAGAAATGTTATTTTTTACATAATAAACTTAAATGAGAAGAGTATTTTAACAAATCTTAAGTACCTTTAGTTCATCATAAAGATTGATCACAATCGATAGATTCTATAAAGAAAACAATTATGATGCATTAATATATATATTTATTTAATTCTGTCAACTGTTATTCAATCGAAATTTTGTGATTAAGATTCTTTTAACTTTTTAAATGGGAAGCTAATTTAATAAAAGCAGAAATGTTATTTTTTACATAATAAACTTAAATGGGGAAAAGTATTTTGACAAAAAGTTCAATTTAAAAATTTAACATGTCGTATACGATCTACCTGAGATCGATCACGTCTATCGTTGTACGCAAGAAAAACTTTGTATTGTGAAGAAATCATCACGTAATTCTTAGCCAACCCCCAATGCAATGCAGTACCACGACAAGTAAACTTGTCATTCACAATCAAACAAAAGTTAATGAGTGACAAGAATCAATGGTTTGTTTTTCTTAATTACAATTGGTTCATAATAAGACGATAATGCGAATGTGATTTTAACAAGAAAATTAATATTAATACTTTTATTTTTGACTATTGAAACAAAAGTTTTGTTTAAGATCCCTTTAATGAATGAATAGTAATTACGAATAATATAAATCTCAACTTTATTTATCATTCGTAATTTATCTATACAGCATACTGGAAATATCTCTCTATTGCAATATAAATATATAGAAAGACAAATAACACGTGGGGAGATAATTTTCGTATAAAAAAAATAAAAAAGAAAAGAAACAAATATCATCTCCTCCACCCCTATCATCCATCGAGTATATATTTTCATCATAAAAGTTCGTGTCGTTCCATTCATGTTATTCCAGATAACAAAGCGGAAGGAAGACAGCTTCGCTTATCAAAGTTGCGAAGCGTGAACTTTCCCATTTGATTAATCACAGGTAGGATCGTTTACACGATGATCTACGTAGTGTACGATACGCCAATGGGAGGAACTGTCCTTCCGAAGGACGATTTTTCAAGATGCAGATTAGCGTCTATAAATCGTCTATTCTCGAAAATCACCTAGATTTTTCTTTCGCACGATCGGTAATACGAACGATTTCATATTCCTACGTAAAAACATTGAAGAGGAAGTTAAAGATAATAAATAATCCGTGATTTTAATGACTGAAATAGTCACGATGATAATGTCAAATCAAATAAATGATTTCTTTCAATTCTACCATATGAATCAATTGCGCTCACTAATGATTAATGTATTTGAAATAATGATCGATAATATAAAAGAGATATTAATTGATCTATATTCATAATAATTCTGATCATTAAATATAACAATTGTCGAATTAAATTAATTCTACGAGCCAATAAATTATATAAATAAACAATTATATTCGATAATTTAAAGGCAACATTATATTCAATGAAATATAATTAATACTAAAATAAATGAATAATCTTTCTATGAATGAATAAACATGATCGATATATATATATATATATCATATCCCTATGTTTCTTCTGCAATAAATTCAAGCCAGACTATGCACCCCATTTAAAGTCACTTTTAAACTGCACGCGTAGGTCCGGTGAACAGCTGATCATTTATTTATAAATCCGTCGCCGTTACGACGGCGAAGGGTCCAACCTTAACATTTTCTCTTTAGCGTGGTAGATATCCGAACAGTGTGTGTAGCCAGGCACTCATACCTTTTCTGTTAAAGAGACACTCGTGTCACGAGCCAAGTGAAACAGAGAATAAACAGAGACTGTCTAGTACAGTATATGACAATAAAGTCATACGCTTGAGCATCCATATTTCCTGACTCCTTACGAATTTTCTATTAAGCTTTTTTCTACCAAGAAATTGCTTAGGGAACACACCTTCAGTTTAATAATATGTACTTTCGATAATTAAATCGTTAAAAATTCAATGACAGCTTCTTATAACACTACCCACTTTAATTGCCTACCACTAACGTAAAACTCGAAACAATTTCATTTAGTACTTTAAGTTTTATTATAGAAACGGAAATAAAATAAACAAAAAAAAAACACAACAGAATCGTAAAATCCATATGAAAAAGTGTTGATTTTTCTTTTCTCTCTCTCTCTCTCTCTCTCTCTCTCTCTCTCTTTCTCTTTATAACTTATCACATCGTAAACATCCTAAACGATCTCGTAAGAAATTTTGTTGAGTAGGAAAAAAATCTCGAGAATAAATAATAAACGCGTATATTTAATCAAAATATAATATATCCCACATATTTTGACAGGAAATAAATCAAAGAAGAATTTCAAAACTGGTTAAGCAAACAACGTCATAAATTTGATTTTATACCTTTATTTCTAAACGTCCTTGTATATATATATATATAAAGCGTACGACTGGAAATAAAAATTACACACCGAGAGAAAAAGTAAAATATTTTTCCACGCTCGTTCTAAGTGTACATATGTATCATATATACATATATACAATAGTATACATATATTTATTACATATATATATATATATATACACATTATGCATATATGTATGCATTCACATATGTACAATTCACATATATACTTATGTACGTATATACGTAAAGCAGGTAAACCGTAATAAGAATTTACGGTTAGTAGAAACGTTAATAAAACGTATGCAATTTACCATTATGTTCTCAGGTTTCGTTTATGTCGACGTCTAAAAAAAACATGAAAAATACACGAAGAGGGAGATCGACTTCACCGCAAGGGGGGAAAAAAAAGAAAAGAAAAGAAAAGAAGAAAAAAAAAATGGATTTTGAGAAAATTTTTCCTTATCTGTCATCATAAGCGTTTCCTATCACCCATGAGATAAAGATAACTCCTACGAATCTTCCCCATAAACTGAACGAAATCGAGACGACGTCATGGCGTAAATTTTATTTTATGACTACTTTCCGATCGTGATACGAATGAACAGAATGACAGGGAGACAAGAAAACTTCCTTCCCTTTTAGATCGTGTGTGACATCAGGGACTTCCGATAGAAAATCTTCTTGGCTTATCTTTTCTCTTTCTCACTCAGTTTTTTAAAGATCAGAGTATGTCCAACGAATAAAAAATGAAAAAAAAAAAAAACATAAGAAATCACATATACAACAATTCTAATGATTTTATATTAACAATCATTTTCGAAAATTTATACAAATATTATTAATGATACCACAATAATTATATATTCGTTTACACACATATTTAATTTTTTTTTAAAGTATTCAAATTAATAAGTATCGAATATTCATAATGCAAAATTTCATTGCCTATACGAAATTTGTTAAATATTATTAGGAAACGTAATAATTGATAACAAAACACTAAAATATTTGAAAACTAATAACAAGTTTTCGTAATTCAAACAAAAACAATAGTAATAAAATAATCATAAAATAAAGTAATTATTCGAATAATATTAAATAATAGAATTGTACTAAAAAATAAAACATAGATATTAAACACGTTGACTGCCGTGTAGATCACCGATGACCTCACCACAAATAATCTATTAAACACAATTATACAACTATCTCTTTATCTGTTGTAAACAAAATGTCAAACAAAATATGCATCCCATAATAAAAAAATTCGTATAGACGTCACGAACAAATCACGTGAAATGCACGCGGTATAATCAACGTGTTAATTTATGTATTAATCCATGCTATTTTAAAATTAATTAAATAAAAATCATGACTTCGAAAAAACAAAATCTCTGATAGCATCTAATGGAAGAGAAAAGAATGAAAGGAAAACAAAGAAAATCAAATTAGATGTAAGAATAAAAGCTCGTGCTCCAGTGTGTTTCTGTGATCTCTTTCACAGTTTCTCGATTAGAGATTTAGAAGTTTGTCGGGATTTTGTTTCAGATAATTAGCTACGACTCAACCAGAGGTGGCGTGTCCGTGGTCACGGAGAAGGGTGAAAGTACGACGAGTTTCCTCCTCGTCCAGGAAGCCAAACCATCAGACTCTGGACGTTATACGTGTAATCCTAGCAATGCTCAGCCAAAGTCGATTACCGTTCACGTACTCAATGGTGAGTACACGATCATTTCCTTTTCCGATTTTACCTTAATCTTATTTTTTTTTTGTCCTTGAGTATCATCTCTCTTCTAACAATAAGTTTTTTTATCGTCCTACTCGATCTTTCTTTTGAAAAAGAAATTCTCAGATTTAGCACGACACGAAACGAAACGAAACGAAACGAGTAAAGTAAGAAAGGAAGGAAGGAACCAAGGGAATAAAATAAAAGGAAAAATTATATGAATGAATAGAAGAAATAGATAATGCACTTTCTTCGTGTAATAAAACGATCTTCTTAAGTTAAAGCTAGAGGAAAAAATGTAATAGAAAAGGAAAACAAGATCTCAAATGAGGATGAGAAAAAAAAAGAGAAAGATATTACACGAGGAGCTTTCTATACTTATCTATCTTTTTCTCTTTCTCTTTCTCTTTTTCACAAGTGCTAGACATTTTCAGAAAATTTAAGTGTTGTCCTCTGTTTCAGGAGAGTATCCCGCGGCAATGCAGCATGGCGGTCAAGCGAAACAACCAAGACTCTACTCGCTGCTACTTTGTCTGTGCCTGCTTCTTTATTAAAAAAAAGGATGACAAGAAAAATAAAGGGAAAGAAGAGGATTCGTTTTATCTTCGTCTGTCTCCTTCTAATTTCTGTCTGTCTCGCTCTCTCTCTCTCTCTCTCTCTCACACACACACACACACACACTATCTCTCTCTCTCTCTCTTTCTATCTCTTTCTCTCTGTACCTTTTACTATCTATTTAACTCCACTTCTTTCCGTTTACCCAAAAACCTATAAAAACTCGAAGAAATCCCATAAGAAGAAAGGAACATAATATAATGTGAAATTTATCTAATCTTTGGAAACAATTAAACGAATAAATAGAAATGGGAGAGAGAAAAGGATAGTAGAAGTTACAAGAAAAAAATACAAAAGAAGAGAAAGATTTTATGGAAAAAAAAAAAAAAAAAAAGAAAAAAAAAAAAACAAAAATAAATACTGGCCTTTTTCAAGAACACGGATTCCTTCCGCGGATTCGTCCTTCTTTCGCAACCTTTAATTTAATCAGCAAAATACTGAAATAATGAAAAATAGGAAGACAAGAAAGACGAAGAAGATGAAGATGATGAAGAAGAAGAAGAAGACTAAATGATGATGAATCGTTGTTATCCCCATCCCCATCAATATCGTGACTTTTATTGCGGCATATCCACGGAGATGAAAAGAAAACTACATACTCAACGTCCTTCGACTCGGTATTATAATATAATCGAAACATCCAATGAATTGTTGTTCCACATTCAACGTTCATCGCAACGACGAATTTTCTTTCTTCCAATATCGAAAATACGTGATACTCGAAATCGTTATCATGATTGATCATCCATCGATCCTAACAACCGAATGAATTAATCTCGATCACTCTTGTCTTTTGATTTTTATGAAATAATTTTCATTTTTTTTTTTATTCACAATTATTAAATTCATTAACTTCGTTTACCCCTATCTCATCGTTTCTCCGCGTAATTTTTCTTTTAATCTTTTTTTTTTTTTCTATTTTCATTTCGTTACATTTACCTGAAATATTTCTTTTCCTACTATTATTTTTTCTTTTTTTTTTTTTTTTTATTGCTGTTCCCTCGCAGTTTTTTTCCCCGCAGATAAATCGTAGCGACGTAGCGTCGATTTGAAACTCAATGGAAAATGATCGAACGTATATAACACATAGAGGTAGGTATAACACGTGGAAAATACTCGGAAGAGAAAATGGATCGGTTTTGTTTCTATAATGGGAACCTTTTTATTCACCCTTTCCTCTTTATTTCTTTCTTTCTTTCTTTTTTCGCTTTTTTTTTTTTTTTCTTTTTATCGATAATCGATCGCAAATACGAAAATGAATGGGCCGACCGTTCGAAGATGGAACAAAGGAGAGGGAAAAAAAAAGGGATATATATATATATAGATATATTAGTACGTGTAATTCGTCTAACACTAAAGAACCTGGGGGAAGCATTTTTAAATACGTTCATACTACAAACAGGTGTAATTCAATCGAATCACTAATCAGCTCTTCGGACGAAAACGATGGATTGTATAGCTCAATCTTGTGTATGAAGGGTACTTAATTGGATTGTCATTGAACGAACGACTAATTAAGCTATTCATTGTAAAAAATGATTTCTACTTTTATTTCATATCACCAAAATTCATAGTAAGATCAATTTTTAATAGAACAGAACGCGGAAAAGATCAGAACATATTTTTTTTCCTTTTTACACGAAATTAAAAGTTGTTACGTAATAAAAAAAAAAAAAATAATCGGCTGTTTCTGCACACACAAAAACGAAGAGAATATTACGTTTTTATTGTTAATTAATTAATTTTACTTATTCAATGGAAATGTCTTCAAACGTTGACCGTTTAATAAAACTTCAAGCTGTAAGAATTAAATAAGGGATGGATAAAATGGGAATAAAGTACAAGGAAATTAGAAATATGAATAATGAAAATGGAAAAATCATGAAAGTATTTTAAAGATAAAAAATTTGCCGAGACAATTGGATGACCGGACATTAGACGCACGAGAATTATCTTTTCATCTGATAGTATCGTGCCGGTGAGAGTAGAAGCTGATTAAAAAACTTTTTACGATGAACAGTAAGTACACAATGGTCCGAATAAGCGTTAAGAAATAATTCTTTCGTTTCATCGTCCTACGAATATTTAACTTCTTTTCTTACCTTTTTCTTCAACTTACTTTTTCTTCTTCTTCTTTTTTTCTTCAACTCTTATTATAAATCGATTCGTTTACGCGAACGACCCCATAACGATTGATACAAACTATTTCAATTCTATCGATTCTAATCAATTTCTACATCTTTTATTTCCAATTTCTTTTTACAAATGAAAACTTGTAATTTATTGGTTTTTTTGTCAAAAAAATTGTGAAGAAGATAATATTTGAATAATCATATGAAAGAACGAGAGAGAATTAATTTAATAATAAAACAAATTTAAATAAAAATTAATAAATCTACACGTAACATACACACACACACAAAAGCAACATGATAAAAATGATAAATGAACAAAATAATTATTGAAATATTATATTTTGTGTGGTAATAATTGAATGATACATACAATTGAAAAAGTACTTACATCGAAGGATATACCACTCGTCTTTATACACCTTCGTTAATCTAATTAACGAATTGACTTCGGCTCGTTCAATTTAATGATCAATACACGCATATCTATCATTCATTTTACCGCTCGATTGGTATTGAAAGAACACGAAAAATCGATTATTACTAGGGAATCTACACAGATATATATTGTACTCGTTCCTTTCTCATCAATCAAACTGGACGTGATTTTCGATCGGTCGTCATCGTGTGTAGCTAGCTACGCTTTTAGGACGAATCGATAATGAATATTTTCAATATTACAGATAAAAAATATGTTATTTTTTTGATTGGTTATTTAAAAAACAAAAACGTTTACGAATCGAAATAAAAGTAGAAACGAAGAGGGACCATACCTACTTTTAATTGTATGATTTTTCTTTTTTCACATTCTCATATTGAAATAATATTTTTTACATTAGTTATTAGAAAAAAGGTTATAGGAATCAAGAAAAAGACAGATGTAGACAAAAATGAGATAAAAAGACTTAATGCTTTCTATGAAATTTTTTTTCTTTTGCTTTTTTCTTGACGAATAATGTTTTTTTATCAATGACACTTGAAAAAGTCGACTTTTAAATTTGCAACTTGATTATTTCGTCTCTTTATTCTATCTGTCACAGTATTGTTTATCAATAATATATTTAAAGAAGTAAAAATCCGTAATTTCAAGTCTCCTTATCTCATTTTTTTTTACTCTGTTAGTCGTGTAAACATTTAATGAATAATATTTATAAAAGTTAACGTAGAAATATCAAGGCTCCTTATCTCATCACAGTTTTGTATGTCAGTCACGTGAACATTCGCCTTAGATTTATGGGCTCTCTTTTAAAAGGAAGAAAAAATAAAAAAGGTGACCGTAAACAGGACTTATTTAACTCTTAACATAAAATAATCGTTCTTAGGTAAGGCGATATTTTACAGACACAGGGTGGCACCGGTTTTATATTGTTACATGGAGTTTCCGTGAAACGATGTACGTACTTACACGTTTAGTATGACAAATAGTCTCACGGGTACAGTCATGAAACTACCGCATAAACGAGCATCGATGTTTGTGCTTTTGCTGTATACAACTTTCCACTAGGATCAACTCGTTTACTCCCATCGACAAATAATTCACGTAAGCTCTGTGTATACACACATATACATATATTTAGTAATATTTTTTAAAGATAAATTTTGAAATGAAAACCGTCGTCCAATTTTGAATCCCGAATTAGATATGAACGAAGTTTTATTTCGCTACAAGTTTTTACATACATTTCTTTTTATATGAACGCTGAAAACGTATAAATTAAATATACGTTTATTAGTAAAATACGTTTTTTTCACTAGTGATTATGATATTGCAATAATGTCTAATTTCATAAGATAAATTCAAAATCTTAAATGTATATCAAGTATAATAATATCTCTTTCAAATACTTTTGTGGTATTACCGTTCATACAAGTATTATATAAGTTATCTGAATTTTATTCTACCTCAAAAGAGAAAAAATACAAAAAAAAAAAAAAAAAAAAAAAAA